GGATAACTTCCAGGCTCTTCCCTTTCTGTGGAGGCTTGTAGAATACAATAACACTGTGAGCTGATCAAGTATTACTTGTAAAACTTTATTCATTTATACTCAAGAAGAAGAAAAAGAAGATGATATTGGATTTATACCCCACCCTTCAGTAGCCAAAGGAGTCTCAGAGTGGCTTACAATCTCCTTTCCCTCCCCCTCCCCACAATAGACACCCTGTGAGGTAGGCGGGGCTGAGAGAGCTCTTTCGACAACTGCTCTTGAGAGAACAGCTCTGAGAGAGCCATGACTGCCCCAAGGTCACACCAGCAGCTGCATTTGGAGGAGTGGGGAATCAAACCCATTTCTCCACACTCCTAACCACTACACCAAACTACACCACTACATGCAACTCTAAAGATCCATCTACAAGTTTGGCAGAACAGTCCTGCTGACCAGTGAGCACTGCTCCATTCTGCCCTCTGAAGCATCTAGCTAAAGGTAAAGGTTTCCCTTGCTCGAAAGCCAGTCAAATCCGACTCTAGGGATGCGGTGCTCATCTCCGTTTCCAAGCCAAAGAGCCAGCGTTGTCCAAAGACATTTCTGTGGTCATGTGGCCGGCATGACTAGATGCCAAGGCGCACGGAACGCTGTTACCTTCCCACCAAAGCAGTACCTATTTATCTACTTGCAATGTCTTGCTTTCAAACTGCTAGGTTGGCAGGAGCTGGGACCAGAGACGGGAGCTCACTCCGTCATGCAGCACTCGGGTCTCGAACTGCTGAACTACCGACCTTCCAGTCTGCAGTGCAGTATCTTAACCACTTGACCCACCGCAGCCCCAACTGAAGTATCTAAGCACCCACCAACTGTCCTGAGTCTTTGCCCAGTGACTAACCACTGTCCTAGTTCACCTGACCTTTGGTGTGCTTTTCCCCCTCTCACTACTGCCACCAACTGATTGTTTTAGGAATTACCCACTGAAAGGGCCAGTACTCCCAGCTTCCCTTTCCACATTGTCATTTTAAGGTTCTGTATAGTGCCTGCGTCTCCCACTATCCAGTGACAGTTACACAGAGGTGGCTTACTGCACTTGTACACTCCTGGAAAAATAGCAGTTTAGCAACTGATACCTCCCTTTTCCTTTTAAGTAATGTGTTTGAATGTTGAAGGTATGTGTGGAATGGAGAATGACCACCAGCATTTAAAATAGTTAACAGTGAAAAACCTATGCACACACTCTCTACGCAATGATCAATAGAATATAAAAGAAAGTTGTAAACATACTGTTTCCCTGTCACACTCTCTATACACTCCCTAACTGATATTATTCTAAGGCAGGTTCTTTAATTTAGAC